TTTTGGTCTGGTAACAGGATTTCATTTGTATAATCCATATACATCATGACAAGCTTTCCGTTATTACCCTTTTTTAACATGTGTGCTTGGTTAAAATATTCATAATCGATAAGCCAACAGGGAATGTCATCGATGTAAGCAACAGAAGCATTTTCGAAAAGACCCAAATTTTTAGCTATGAAGGTGACCAAAGAAGTACACCCAACATCTCCCTTAAGATCAGGAATTTCTTTCCATTGTTTCATCATAAACTGGACTGATGAAACCTTTCTTCTTTTGACCATGGCATAGAGTAGTTTAAGTTCATCATTCCTAATAGTGCGAAAATCATTCCTAGAAAAAGAGAAAATCTAGCCATTTATGCATGAATCGCAAAGTAGCGTGATGAATTTCATTGGTACAGGGACGGTAGCAAGTAAGTTTTTTATTTATTTCCCTCCAAAATTTCATTCTATTAAAGTCTTGTATAGCAGTGTCCACATCAATCACACATTGTGCATGAAATCCTAGAAGTTCACTAAACAGTTTTCATGGGATAGAAAAATATTTTCCAAAAAGTCTAAATGATACTTCCGAATCATTAGGTTTCATGGTGCATAAAAATTCAGCAGTCAAAAGCTTAGACCCCGGCTCATTAATTTCCCAAACATCCTCCCATCCTACAACCTTAAAAATGAGTTCCAATTCAGTGTTCATACCTGTGGCTTGCAGTAAGGCTGGATCATAAGCGGGAGTGAGGAGGAAAATCCGGGTCTTCAGCTTCTTGTAGATGTCCTTCTCCGTGTCATCCCAGAGCTTGAGCTGCTTCTCTTGCAAGAGAACATTTCTCTCCGTGGGGGCTGAAGGGGATGATGCTTCGGCAGCGGGAGATGGAGGATCGACCTCCATGTCGGTGCTTGCCCGGGACAACAAAATTGTTGTTGAGCGGAACGACACCGCAAGCTTGAGCTTTCCGACGATCTTGCTCATTTTCCTGCAAAATAGACAAAAGACAACACAACTCATGGAACGGGATTAGGAAAATAAAAATGTTAGCGGTTAGCCGTCCAAAAGTCTGTCGTCCAGAGGGTTAGTCGTCCGAGATTGTCTAAAGAATTTTTCTAATCAATATTTTGGCATGAGTTCCACCCTAATTCTTTTTAATTTTCTCTCTTGATTTCGACTGCACTACCACTCTTAAACCCTCTCTTTCTTGCTCAAATTTTAGCAGCACCTCTCTCTCTCTCTCTCACTCAAGATTTTAGCAACACTTTCACTCTCAACTTTCTCACCTTTTTCTCACTCCAAAACTACTTCTACCAAGAGAGTTTTAAACTATGAGATTTGAAATTGGAAATTTGAACTTCGGAAGCTAGATTGCAGTGTGAGTGAGTGAGTTGAGCAGCCAGGGGGGCGGTATTTATAGGGGGAGAGCAGAAGGGTGGCCAGCCAAGTGGTGGGGCCGGTCAGACCCACATCAAGGCCAAATGGCCTCTCCATTTTTCTCGTGCTCCTTTTACTTCATGCTTAAGCAAAACATCCACTCCTTTGGTGCTCTTTTCAGTGGTGATACGACCAGGATAGCTGGTGGAGAGATGATGGAGGTGAAAGTGGTCGTTGAGTGGAGATAGAAGTGAGGGGTAGTGGTTATGGAGGTGATGGTCGTGGGTCCCCAAGTGTTTGTGGGTCCCATGCTCGTATTTCTACCGTATATTCAGATATATATATACAATAAAAAATATTTTATGAAACTATAAAATATAAGAAGATGAATGATGGTATTTTTAAATTTTTACACCTCCATAGTAAATATTTCTTATGGGTTTTTACGCTCTATAAAAATTATTTACATGGGGCTTGAATTTTTATAATGCCATGATGAGAATTTTTTAATTTTTTTAATGCAGGTGTTGAAAAGTAAATATGCCAAAGTAAAATATAATGCGAAAAATAATTATAGATAACTACTCGAGTTACCTCCCGGCGAGGGTTCGGCATTTTAAGTCCACCAAACCGGACTTCTCCGTTCGCGTTTATTCTTCGGGTTTGGCCCCGGAGATGGAGACCTTGACGGATGAACTTGTTTCTTATACCATTCTAAATTAGAGCATTGTTCTGGTCTTGGCTTGAAGGCGAATCGCTCTTCCTTGCCGTTGATATGGAATTTGATTTCTTCGGCTCTGACATCAATGTGCGCATTTGTAGTACTCAGGAAGGGTCTCTCAAGTATGAGATGTCTTCATGTCCTCCTGCATGTCAAGTACTACAAAATCCACAGAAACAAACAAGTTTCGTATTTTTACCGGTATATTCTCTATGATTCCTGCGGGGTAGCGGACCGATTGGTTGGCTAGTTGCAAACACATCGACGTTGGTGTAAGTGTTGAGTAGTTAAGCTTGTCGAAGACCTTCTTGGGCATGACACTAACGCTTGCTCCAAGATCACATAACACGTTCTCAAAGTTCTTGCTTTCGATCGCACAATCTATAGTGGGACACCTCGGATCCTTCTTCTTGACAGGTGATGTGCTTAGGATGGCCGCACTACACTCCTCCATTAACTTGATTACTTCAGTGGTGGGCAATGGTCTTTTGTTGTTGAGGATGTCTCTGAGGTACTTCGCATAGGTGGGTACTTGTATGGCATCTAGTAGAGGAATATTGATATATAATTTTTGAATTACCTCCACAAACTTACCAAACTGCTCATCCATTTTGGCTTTTCGATTTTTGCATGGAAACGGTAGGAAGGTAGTGTCATGAAAATCTTGTTTTAATTCTCGCTCTTGTGGCTCAACTTCTTCAACTTCATTATTTCTCTTCTCCTCTTCCTGCATTACCACTTGTGTCTTACCTATCCTTGTCGGATACGACGGATTACGAGTAGACTTGGCACCTCTTGTGGTTATAGCGTTGACCTTTTCAAGGTTAATAGTAAAAGGCAGAGTAGCGACCAACTGGGCTAATTGAGATTCTATCTTTTTATTATAGTTAAGTTGGTCTTTTATGGTAGAAGAAAAACTATTCATTTTAGTATTTATGTTTTCTAGGACCTTATCATTAAAAGCAAGCTTTTTAGAAATATTCTCATTAATCCTAGCTTGTTCTAAGATTAAGTCTCTTAAGGATGGTTGCTTGGGATTAAAAGAATTATAATTGTTACCTGGGTACTTACCTTGATAAGTTGACTGTTGTTGTTGTTGATTCCATCCTTATCTCCGTTGTTGTGAACCTGGATTGTTGCCAACTATGTTTACATCCTCTTGATATTCAGGGAATTCAACCTCCAAATATTCTCCACATGTGTTTTGAGCATTGAAAGCATCTTGAATGGCTTGACGATCTCTCTTGTAATTGGCTCGCTGTTCAAGCCATTTGCCCCTCCTCGGCAATAGTGCTAGAAATGCTTGTTGACATTTCTTAGCATTACTCTTTACTAAGTTGTCATCCCTAGAATGATGTTAGAAATGTGTGGTTGGTAATTATTAATGACACTTGTAAACTCAAAGAAAATTATATATGTTAAAGTAAAGTATCCGCAAGTGCACAGATAATATACCATTGTAGCATTTCACCCGGAAGTATACCGAGTATCGTTATTTGTATTTTATCTACAGGGAGGAGCTATGGGATTGTTGGCATAGACATATTGACAAATATGTATACTTATGATAAAACCACTCATGCTATGGCAGGGGTAAGTCAAATGATAAATAAATGATAAGTGTGAAGCATTGATAATAATTTCAAAGATAGAAATAGAGACTCATAAAATGTAGTATAGCTAGGCAGGAGATTCGGTAAGGGCAAAAGATTCCTAAATCATTTCTTATTTACTAAGTCTTTTGTACACCCAAGTACATACACTCTCATCTATAGCATAATTAACTCTGGATCTATGCATAAGGAACATTACTAAGGAAGATCAAGAACATAGCTTATCTCCCTTGCAACCGTGTTCTACTTGCTCTATAAACGGGGAGTGGACTACAAAGGACTCAACGAGAGTGTCACATCCGCGATCTACCACATGACCTAGAGTGCAGAATGCGTCCGCAGGTAAACAATATCTAAGCACCATGCTTACATAATGTCGACCACTTAACCCGTGCGTATCTTAGGCTAAGCGCTTTGCGAACATATGCATAAACTCATCATCAATCACAACTATATCAAGTATATAACTAGAGCAAACTTGAAACATAATAAATAGCAACATAATATTGAAGTAGCACACAGTCATAAATAAAGAGATACAGTGGCTATACCAGTCTCCAGACGGCAGATCTAGAACCCTGAGCAACAACTCATACTCTACTTGAACCTTGCTAGCTAGTCTATACTAGAACTTTGAAGAATTAGAGCTCTATTCTCTTCTCTCTGGAAACCATAGTTTCTGATCTACTCTTGACTTATGGCAGCGTGCTCTGGATGGAGGGGGGGGCAGGGGCTGGTTATATAGGCCGGAGCGTTAATCCTGAACTCTTGGATCAAACCGACTTGAATAAATGGTGTAGATGCAATCTAGGAGGCGGTGGAGAACTGACGTAACGACGGGGGCTGATATGTGGGCCTGGGGGGCTCGGGCGGCCTACAGGTGGGGCCGGCCGGCCCCACCTGTCATCCTCTCGGGGGATGCCTTCTGGTGGCCTCTGGAACCTTCTGGAGTAGTTTTCACTGTGGATAACCGCAATTTTATTTGACGCTTTGATCATCCTTGACGGTTTTCTGGAATAACCCTGCTAAAAACACAGATTCAACAAAACTGGTGGAAATTATCAGTTTAAACCCCTAAGTTTATGTTGGTGATCCTTTTTATACATTTATTCAAGTTATGTTCACGGTTTATAATGAATGATAACTACCGTCAACAGTATCTCTCCAGAAACTCATGCAGACGAGACTTCACATAAAAACACGCGGGCTTCTGATCAAAGAATTTCAGTGACGGACTTAAGTTAGCCCTAAAACACCACATATTCGTGACTTTAGTTAGGGAGTATTATACATTGATGACGGTACTACAAATTGAAAATTTCAAAACAGAGTGCTGATGCGTACCTCTTGTGTTCAAGCAAGAACTCTCGTAGTTCATCGATGAATTGACTTATTTCATGCAACAGTGCAAAATTGAAATGCATGTATCTTTGCTTGTTAAGTTTGATAAGAATCCCCTGGATAACTTTCTTCAAGTCAGGCGTACGGCCAACAGAAACAAAAGCCCCGCAATCATAATCGCCTATAAGCTTGTCATAGACAGCCCTTGCAAGAGTGGTCTTGCCTAACCCACCAGGTCCAAAAACGGATACTGTCTTCATCTTGCAATTGGACACATCGTCCCGCAGCATGGACATGAGCCCACTGCTTGAATTGTCGATCCCAACAAGCTTGTTCACTTGTGTGTACATGGCCGCAAGACGAGGATCAACGGTCGATGCAGTGGCTGGCCTGGCCGCAATATCGTCGACCTTGAACCTTCCACGCCGTGCCGTCACCTCCTGGACATGTCTCATGATGTGATGGATGGCGACGCTGATCTCGCGGCGTGCCTTGCTCTTTGTGAGCAACTTGGACATTTTCTGCACTTGGCGTTTGAGGAAGCCCTTCTCCCCGGTAGAATCACAGCCCCGGACACGCACAAGGAAGGTGTCAAGGATGTCGTCCATGTCGTAGGACGCCTCCCTGATGTCGCGTGACCAGAGCTTGACCTGCTCGTCGAGCTGGTCCCACGGCACCTGGCCCACCTTGCGGAGCGCGGCTTGAGCACCCTCGAGCTCGAGGTAGAGGGACCTGACCTGCTCCTTCACGCCGGCCTGCAGGTTGTACTCCGCCTTCAGCAGCTCGCCGAGCTTGGGGACGAGGCAGCTCATCGCCCCCATCACAAGGTCTGCCATGCTTCTACAGATGCTCTTGTCGTTCACTTGGTGGTGGGCTTGTGGAACTTGTTTGCCTGATAGTGCCCTCGCTGGCCCTTTTCTTCCTCCAGTCCAAACCAACCAAATTCCTACTAGTGCAGTGTTATTTGAGTGTATATATTCTATTATCGATTTCAGATGAGGTGACACCAATCCGAGTCAGCGTTTGGTGGATGAGAACGAGAGACATGATCGACCTGCGTGCAAACAATCCAAAGTTGCTAGTCTTCACGTATAGCATAAATTAGTGCAGTGTTATTTGGCTATATATGCCGTGCAGCTAAATTAACTATGATCGTGTCAGGTAGCAGGTAAAGCACACCATATATACCTATTCCTCGTCCGTGGGTTGTTGCCGGTTCGCCATCACGACTATAAAATATATGTGTAAGCGACTAGTATCATGTTTCCACACATGCGTTTAGTCCACACGCTGTACCATGCGCTTGGACTTCAACCATAGTATACACACGAGGCACCAGCACACACGGTTTCTCATTTCCAATCCTAAGGCTTCCACGGCCTAGAGCCAAACTAAAAGTCAGGGCGGGCCTTAGTACAATAAGCACCTATAATTATAACTAGTATACTGAGTAATGAGACTGAAAATAGAGTACTAGACCGAGGATTAGTCTCTAGGCCAATACAGCTCGATCCATCACAAAATCACAATTTAGATAAACTCGTGTGCAATTGTGTGGTATGTTTTCTGTCATGCGCCCTATATGGGCCCCCGACAACGGACCTAGCGGGCCAAGCGAGGCCCAGCGCAGAGCCATGGCTGGCTTGCGGGGCATCCTGCGCACGGCCCGAGGATGGTGCGACGCGGCCAGCGGAGGGCGCGGCCAGGGAAGGCCGCCGCCACCCAGGGGAGATCTCGGCTCCCAGGATTAATTAGAATTAAAATAGGAAAAATAATAGGGATTTGCTTAGTAAAAATGGATTAAGATTTTGTTAGGAGAATAAATAATTACTTGTTTTGAAAACAATCCATACCTATAAGAGCTCTTTCCGTAAAATTAGATTGCTTAAGGACCCAGCACTACCCCAGATCACGACAATACTGTCGGTTCAAAATACTCCATCACTGTTGGATTTTGAACCGGTACAACCATATCGGCAGTGATGAGGGTTAGCTATCACTGTCGGTTCCTACAAACCGGCACTACTGGAGACGGCCTCTTTGCCGAGGGCCTGCTCGGCAAAGGCCCATTAACCCTCGGCAAAGAGCTCTCGGGGAATTTTGAGTCGGCGAAGAGGGTCTTTGCCGAGGGCCCTTTATCGGGCACTCGGCAAAGCCTTTGCCAAGGGCTGGACCGGCACTCGGCAAAGAAAAGCAGCCGTCACGGCGCCGGCGCCTGGGACAGAGTCTTTGCCGAGGGCCGTCTCCGGGGGCCCTCGGCAAAGAATTATTCTTTTTTTTTTTGAAAAATCTTTGCCGAGGGCCTCCAACCATGGCCCTCGGCAAAGAAATGTTACAGAATTTTTCCAAAAAATCTTTGCCGAGGGCCGTCCCATTGCCGAGGGCTTCCCCGCAGGCCCTCGGCAAAGAAATTTTAATTTTTTTTAAAAAGTCTTTGCCGAGGGCCTCCAACCATGGCCCTCAGCAAAGAAATGTTCCAGAATTTTTTCATTGAATCTTTGCCAAGGGCAATGGGACGGCCCTCGGCAAAGGACCCTTCTTTGCCGAGGGCCTTGGTCATTGCCCTCGGCAAAGACGTATAATTTTTTTTTGTTTTTTGCATTCCATCGACACAAGCATTTCATATATATACATATATATATCAACCATCACATATATATATATCACACAGAACCCATTTTCTCACAATATATCACAACCATAATTGTGAACCACAAATCACAATATATTACAACGACAAGTCACATGTTCATCATCATAGCCCAAACTGAGGTCCTCTTGTTCAATTTGCTTCCCTACGACTAGAGCTCCATCAATGCCAGCATTTGCAGCTATGGTCATCAAGGGAGCCTGGAGAAATCCATAAATTATTTTAGATTCAGGAGACAGATAACCTAAATGCGTGAAGCTACATAGTTAGCTAGAAGAGACCCACCTTCAAAGAATTCTTGATAATTTGAACTCCAATCTTTTCATCCTCATTTGTTGTGCTAATCTTGTCGAGCTCCTTGGTGGCATAAAGAAGGGCGGCTCCACCACCTGTGAAGAGACATGAACCGAAGAACACATACAGCATATGGTCAGTTTGCATAGGTTAAAATAATAAGCAAGTCATGAAATGAAATTAGTAAATGGAATACAACAACTCCACCAGATCTCTTATAATTTCCTATAACTTGTTATAGGAGAGTGCCCTAAAACCATTTCAGCATATAGGAGAGCACTACTGCTGCAGATTACCTAAAATTTGTCTCCTATTTCTTTAGGGATAGAGGAGAGGGGGTTCTCTCCTTTCTTTAGGGGAGAGGGGGCTGGTTTTAGGAGATTTAAAAATTATAGGTATAGGAGATGAGATAGATCTGCTGCAGCACCTCTATCTCCTAAAATACTAGTTTTTTACAAGGTTTTTATTTTCGAAAATTAAAATTTATCGGGGGTCATAGATAAAGAGGATAAATAGGATATATCGGAAATATCGGACCAAATTCAAATAAAATTTAATTTGAATTTAAGTAAATTTAAATAAAATTAAACAAAATTTGTACGAAAAAGATAGATATTTTCTTATCGACACCTACGGATAAAGAGGATATATCGGAAATATCAGGAGATTTCGGCCGATATTGGAAACCATGGTTTTTTAGATATAGGAGATCTGGTGGAGATGCTCCTTCGAGAAAGTTTTGCAACCTGGCACGATGCCCTCCTCCACAGCAGCCCTCGCAGCATTTAGAGCATCTGTTACCCTATCTTTTTTCTCACCAACTTCAGCTTCGCTAGCTCCACCAATCTACAATTTACGTGGACATACTGAAGAAGACTGGAAAACAAACTTCACACAAACATCACTTTCTAAAATTTTAACAAACCTTGAGGACAGCAACACCTCCAGATAACTTTGATAAATGCACTTGGGCCTTTTCTTTGTCAAATACAGCAATGCTTGTGTCAATTGATTCTCTAAGCTGTCAAGGTCATCAGAACAATGTAATTCCAATTGAAAGAGCTTCTTTCTAGTATTATCGAGATCTTCTTGACATCTGATGAGTCAAAATGTGGCAATTCTCAGTACCTGTTGGCACCTCTCCTCTATCCGCTGTTTGTCACCTCCACCATCTAGGATGATAGTATCATCAAGAGATACAGTTACCTGTGAAGAAGCATGTCACTGTATGGATCTCAGGCGCAATAAATTATGAAAGCTGACAAACCTTTTTAGCAGTGCCAAGCATTTGTAATTGAACTTTGCCAAGATCAAGACCTCGTTCCTCGCTAATAACCTTGAAAGCAAAATGATGTGTAGAAGTCAAATTGAGTCATAATCGTAATTCATGTTAAGAGCATCTCCTTCAACATCCTCAGCAACAATGAGAAGAGGCTTGCGATTCTACATAGGCCAAATACCACCCATCAGATGTCATAGCACCAAAAGCTGAGACATAAATGGACAAAGTTACCTTGATAGAAATTTCTAATGCTAGAAGGAGAGAATCCATATTTGAGATTTTCTTGTCATGGATAAGAATCAGAGGGTTCTCCATCTCCTGCGGGTATAAAAATAAATAGTTGTGAAATTAATAGTAATCTCGTGACCTTGGGACCTTTACAGAACCCCTCGATGATCACAGTGCGCCCCTGCAACACAAGCAATCAGCCCACTCAATCGAATGCGAAAGCCCAGCGGTTCCACTAGATCCACGCTGGTCGCCGCTGCATCACGCCCCGCCCCCGACCAACGCAAAGCTTCCCAGAGGCAAAGCAGGGAGCGCGAACCTTGGGGCCCATGGTGACCTTGACGGCGTCGGCGAGGTCGTTGATGCCCTACAGCATGGCGGCGCAGGAGCCAACGCCGAAGGACACCTCCTTCGCCGTGGCCGCATACCCCCGCGCCAACAGAGGCGGCGGCTCCCCGCCCGCGCCCTGCGCGAGCTGCCTCCGCAGCGCTGAGGAGGACCTCGAGATGGCCGCCGCCGCCGCCCGGTACATGGTCGCGCGAGTGTGCCTTGCTGCCTGCGGCTGCTCGTGTGCGCACTCGAATTGCTTTTGCCGCCGGGTCGGGAGGAGGGTTTTAGGTGAACAGGGGTTTGGGGTCCCGGAAGCTTCGTCTTCGGCTCCACCGCGAGATCCACGCTTCGGGCATCGCTTGGTTCCAGAGATTTCATTTCGCCGGCGTGGCTGGGGGCGTGGTTAGGGTTGGGTCGCGCGTAAGGATGGCAGCGGATCGGGTCTGGGGCGGATATCCGCGGGTTTTGGGTTCTGCGGGTTCGGGTTTGGGGATGGTTTTTCACCCACGGTTTTCGGGTTCGGGGCCCCGAAACCAATCGGGTTCGGTTTCGGGTTTGGTTTTCCACCCGTGGATATCCAATGGATATCCGAAATAAATTATTTGGAATTAAAACTCATGTTTTATAATATACTAATAATAATTTGTTTACTTAGATTATTAAATTTATTTAAAGTTGACTCATGAAAATATTTATTATTTGTTGCCTCTTATTTATACATGTGAATATGTGTATATATATCCGCGGGTTTCGGGTATCCATTCGGGTTTCGGGTATCCGTTCGGGTTTCGGGTATCCGCGGGTTTGGTTTTGGTTATGGATTTCCAGCCGAATCGGTTTTCGGGGCGGATTCGGGTTTTGATTTCGGGTTTCGGTTTTGGGTGCACGGAGACTCCACCCGATCCGAACCCGACCCGTTGCCATCCTTAGTCGCGCGGGGGTTGGGTCGGTGGGCTTTTAGTGCCCATTTTTTTTTGAAAATCAACTTTGCCAAGTGTCCCCTGGGCCGGCACTCAGCAAAGCCCACTTTGCCGAGTGTCCCCCGTGGCACTCGGCAATTTTTTTTTGATTTCGGGCCCAAATTTTTTTCTGGGGCCTTGTGACAGTATTTCAAACTCTATTTTAAAATTTGGGGTAATTTTGATTTTTTTTGATATATTTCATTAGTTTATTTCGTTTCGTCGAATTTTTCGGGATATTTCAAATTTGAACTGCAGGTACATGGAATAATGGACTTTGATCATCCGAAAATTGATACTCATGATATTTAGGGTATGTTTAGGCCGTATCCAGTAACTCACATGAAATCTCGAGCATCTCGTTGACGTAACATGTCGAGGTACTTGCCGGAAATGTGATTTTAAATTATATAAAATGCAAACGAAGTCCGAAAATCATGAAACTTGTCGAGGCGTCGTGTTATCGCATTCGGAGGCTATGATAAAAAATTGAGAAGGTTTCGAGCAAGTTGTGACGTCGGATGCCAAAAACCCAGGCATCCGACGTCACAACTTACTCGAAACCTTCTCAATTTTTTACCACAGCCTACACATGCGATAATATGACACATCGACAAGTTTCGTGATTTTCGGACATCATATGGATTTTATATAATTTAAAAACACTTTTCCGACAAGTTCCTCGTCATGTTACGTGAAGAAGATGCCCGAAATTTGATGCGAGTTCGTGGATAGGGACTCAACATACACCAAATACAATGAATAACATTTTTCGAATCACTAAATTGCATTATTCCATGCAACTGCAGTTCAAATTTGAAATATTCGAAAAAAATCAACGAAAAGAAATAAATTAGGGAAATATATCAAAAAAGTCAAAATTGGCCCAAATTTTAAAATTGAGTTTTCAATAATGTAGTATAGCACCACAAAAAAACTAGGTTAAAAAAACCAAAAAAAAATCTTTGCTGAGGGCCTAGCCTGGCCCTCGGCAAAGGGGATATTTGCCGAGGGCCTGGCCAATGGCCCTCGGCAAAGAAAATTTTAAAAAAAATAAAAAATCTTTGCCGAGGGTCTAGCCTGGCCCTCGGCAAAAGGGATCTTTGCTGACGGCTTGGCCAATGGCCCTCGGCAAAGAAAATTTTAAAAAAAATAAAAAATCTTTGCTGAGTGCCTGACGGTGGGCACTCGGCAAAGACTGATGCCAGTGGCAGCCGTGACCCATCTGGCCATATTTGTCAAGGGCCAATTTGCCGAGGGCCTTGCCCTCCGGCAAAGATTTATTTTGCCGAGAGCCGTTTCTTTGCCGAGGGCCAGGCCCTCGACAAAGGCCTCTTTGCAGAGGGACTATCTTTGTCGAGGGTTCCTGGGGCTAGCCCTCGGCAAATAGAGCCTTTGCCGAGTGCTCGAGATCTAGCCCTCGACAAACCCAGAAGCCCTTGGCAAAGGATGGGTTTTCAGCAGTGCGGCAGTGTTCTTCAACTTCACTGTCGGTCCTTTACACAAACCGATAGAGTTCAGATCCACCAACACTACAGGTTCATGAGACTACTCGGCAGGGTAACCTCGAACATCACTGTCGGTTTGTGTTTTAACCGGCAGTGTTATCGTAAGAAGCACTGCCGGTTTGTGACAAGAACCGGCAGTCATGGCTAAGCCAACGCTGCCGGTTTGTGGCTCAAGCCGGCAGTGCCATCCTAGCCATCACTGTCGGTTTGTTGCTAACCAACAGTGATGGTTACGACAACACTGCCGGTTTGTTGCTAACCGGCAGTGATGGTTACGACAACACTACCGGTTCGCTGCTAACCGGCAGTGATGGTCCGTTCGCATTTTTTTGTTTTATAATTTACTTTAATTTATATTTTTTCGTGGAATCGGGTTTCGCTTTATATACGCTATGTAGACGACAGGTCCATCAATATTAAACATTACAAATGTTACGGTTACAGTTCAAATGTTCTTATCAAGATCTCGATCCCTCAAAATAAAAAAAAGAAATTATTCAATAAGATGAAGCATGCTTCTCGGACTTCTTACAATAATCTAGCGAGCCGCTCTGGGCCATATTGGTCCTTGAACTACACGGATTGTGCAATAGAAAATACTCCATCTTTTTTCAATACCTAGGCTAAGATGAATTTTGCCAGCTCCGATTGCAGTGCGATGATCTCCATGTCTAACCACCTTTCATGGTTATATTTCTTGCGCTGTCATTCAAAAAAGATGATATCCAAAGAGGAATCAGTAAATCATTTTGTTTGAATTATTAACAGACATAAATAAAATGGGGATTATACACACCAACTTATCTGCTTCTAATTTCCCACTGATGTAGCGAAGCATTGCCCACATTGCATAAAACCCGCATTCATTGTTTCCCGCCGGCTGTTTTAGGTACTTCCCCTCTATTTCGACAACCTTGAATGGGAGAAACATTAAAAAGCGGTATGTGTGATTATAAAACTATATGTTATTAGGATCGCTTACTAATTCAGCTCTGCCACCAGTGCATCCAGATGATGAAATGGTTTTTTCTTTGAGTCCCACACCTCGATCAGATTTTTAGAAAGATTAACACAAATGAAGACAAAATAGTTGCTGCAATCACAGAATCTTAATTATCGAATAATCTTAACGAAAAAAGAAGCACAAAATTAAAAGCCGACAACACATACTCGCAGTTGTTGGCTAGAAGTATGTGAGTTTTGTTCTTCATCTTAAATTCATCGAAAACAACAATCAATCTCTCTTTCAGGTCTTCCACATCACATCCATGTAGGCCTAAATATGTCTTCTCATTGACTCACAAATGGTCCAAGAAGCCTATGTTATCCTATTTGCTTTTTAGTATGCAAAATTTTGCTATACACCTACATAAAATCATGGGAAGTGCTCGAAAGTTAACAATTTGTGTCTCGAGAGAGTAGTTAATTATAATATCGTGCGTGTAGGGTACTTACATAGTCCACAGCGCCAACATTTGTGTATCGAGAGAGCGTTTCTGATATAGCTGGAACAAGTGGCGAACGGACATCGAACTTCTCTTCTTCAGGATAATGAAAAACAAGTGGCGAACGGATAATAACCTCAAAACCAAAGTCCTCTGTCTCTGTTGCTTGAGCCATGCAATATTCATGCAACTGGCGCATATATGTTGTCAAATTTTTATACTCGTGATCGGGAACCAAAAGATTGCCCATTTCATACTTCATTGCTGGTGTTCCCGTCCCTTGTACATCATAATAGATGTTCGCGGCCTCTTCCATGGTTAATTCGGGGTTGTCTTCGACGTACTTCTTTATCTTCCTTTTCATTGTGTATTTTTTTGGCTCTTATTGTAGCGCACTGATTCTGTGTTTGCCTTTCGAATTTGGACTTCAACAAACACGGAGGCAGTGAGGCACAGAGATTGAAGAAACTAACACAATCTTCCTTCGAGATGTGTGCTGTAAATTTTTCTTTCATCAAGTTTTAACGCTGTCACTGAACGACCTTTTTCTTTTTTGTTGGTCCACTTTGGGAGCATTAGCGACCGAATCCAAGGATCTTTTCTGTGACTGCGAGGATGCCTTTGATCTTGTTTTGGGCTGAGGTGGAGGAGGAGGAGGATGACGACGAGACCTCTGTTTTCCCGGGGCTGATGAAGATGGAGGAGGAGTATTCTCTTTTCTCGGGGCTGATGAGGATGGAGTCAGACGAGGAGGAATAGAAGGAGACCTCTGTCTTCTCGGGGGTGATGGCAAGGGATGAGGAGGGGAGTGATCTCTGTTGGGAGATGGTGAGTAATCATCGTGGGTGGGTGAAGACTTGCAGTCGTCCTCATCATCAGAGGACAATTTGTGGTCAAGCTTAAGGAAACGCTTGCGCTAGGCCACTTGAGAGCCCTTGTTATGACCAAGTTTTGGCCTATCTTCCGCTGTGGGGTACTCAATATGTATCTCATTATACTTCTTATCAAGTATTCTGTCAATGGTGACGCGAGCGTACCCCTGTGGAATTGGGTGGCCATTAATGGTCCTGTCTTCCACAGGCCAGGTCTGGCCGAGTGGCACCTTGTCCTTTGTCCATTCCTGACGGATGCACAACTTGACATTGATGGGTTCAGTGATGCCGTCTTAAGATGGCACTGCCGGCTTGAGCCATAAACCGATAGCGTTGGCTTAGCCATCACTGCCGGTTCTTGTCACAAACTGACATTGCTTCTTACGACAACACTATCGGTTAAAACACAAACCGACAG